AGCTATGCACCGTAGACGGATGGATAGTGGTAGTTCTGCTGGTTCCCGTCTTATCAAGGGCCTGCCCGGACTCGGCGACCGTGGTTTCGACCTCTTTGACAACTTCCAGGTATTTTTTTTTGTTGCCATAGGTAATTTGAACAACTGATACCTCCTTCATTAACCTCTATCCTTTCTTTCATTTCTTACTGCTATCAGAAAATAATTGTAGAAAAGCTCTTCTTATAGCAGCGCCAGAATTTTGTAGCTTGCGCAGAGAAAGCTGATTCCATGATTAAAAAAATTAGAAAGTGAATTAAATTTGCGAAGCTCTCATCAGGTTTTTTAACTTTTTCAGCGGAGAGCGGCAAAATTGTTTACTTGACTTAGCTATTCTGTTTTGTCTTGGTTTAGATTAGAAGGGCTCACGTGGAACGAAATATACCTACCAGGCCAATGGTGCGAGCGCATTACGTTGTTTTGCACGTCAGGTTTTACGTTACCCTCTCCTATATAGGTCGGGTTCTATTTTCAAACATGACATAAAGTTCTTGGGTTTTCAAACCATATTTGAAATGCATTCGATTTCTCTGAAACATAGATGTAATTGAATGCGTGTTGGTCTAGCAAAGTGGTTCACAATAGTCGAATTTCAATTTGTGCTTTCGCTATCTCAAAGAATCTGTATTTGGTATCATTCCACTGATTTTGAGTGCATAAAAAGTTTTGCTGGTCCGAAGCGAGATTGATCAATGACCCGCTGGAGCAGTGCTTCTTCTACTACATCAGGCAATCCTAATTCCGTATTATGTAGGCCCTTAATGGAAGTGTTTGTCACACTGTCGTTGTGTGAAAATTTTTTATCTGTTTCTTTGCACCCTGCGAAACATTGGACATCTTCGTTCGATAATTAAGAAATATGTATCGTATGATAATTGTAGTATATTTGCGACTAACTTTTCCCTTTTTCCTTATTGTATTTACTGCTTTTTTATGACAACCATAAATACAAAGCATCACTTATGGCACAAATTTCTCACAAATGTTTTATTTGGCTTACCCTTCTACTGAGTTAGCAGTGCCGCTAATTCAGTCTTACGATGGAACTGATTTCAATATGGATGATGGCCTCAATTTGTTTGGTAACGATGAAGTCAGATCCAGTCGATCAAAGAGATCACGTGCTTCTTCGAAGCTTTATGATGACTTTTTCGTGGGCGGATGTGGAACTCGATCGCGACATCGATCTGGAAGTGTTAGTGAAGTTGGCAAGAGGAGCAGGTACATTATTGTTGTCCCTTTTATGAGCAAATGAAAAATGCCCTTCTCTAGAATCAAAGCTTTATTTTTAATTCTTCCTACAGGTTGATATCGGGTGTCTCTGACGTTTTTGATGAGCTTATATTCAACGGTGATCTCAGCGTACAACAAGCTGCTGAACAGTTTTTACAAACTTTGGAAGAGATTCCATCTGAAAGTAGTGAGGTTAGAGAAACTCTTTCCAGATTTTCTATTTACTTTGCGGATATGATCAGCTGGGTTGTGGAATCATTGCAGAGGGCAGGTACACCAGAGGCGCTTGCACCGTTACCCGAACCAGCGGTATTTTGCATTGCATGCGGTTGCGAATGCAAACCTCACGAAGGGAAGTTGAGGTACGAAGCTAAATCATCTTTGTTTATTATCTCAATATTTGAGAGTTGTTTAGCGTGTCTTTTGTGCAAACATCATATCAAAACTCGAACTTACCACCTTTACGTTCTGAAGCGCAATGTCCCTGGGATTATAAAGAGCAACTTACTGTTCTTGTCTTTCCGAGTTTTATCTATTCGAGTCGTGATCATTATGGTCTACTTGAGTGTCTACGATCAGAACAAGATTTTGATGTATCATCAGCGAGTTGGCTGTAGAAAAGTTGCGTCATTCAGATGTACTTCGAAATTCTGCAGAAAGTCCAGTGATTCACTAGATTATTCTGAAGGGAGAGCATATTTTGGAGCGTCAGCTTCTACGTCTACAGCAACTGCGTCATTGACAAGAGTTGAAGAGAATCCAGCAGAGTCTGCCAAGAACTCAGAACGTACAAGAAGCCTGCGAAAGGTGATTTTTCCATTTGCGGTCATATTTGAAATAAAAATAAACAAACTTTTAGAATAAACATTCTTCACGTACTGATTCGAGTTTGATTAAAGACGAAAGAGAAGATTGCGATCAGTCGTCAGGATTGGATCCCGTTCGATCGCCATCACCACTAGAAAATTTGAAGAAAGTGGTCAGATTTTATTATTCTATCTTTAGTTGTGTACCATTTTATTCATATTGGAACAATTATATATATATATATATATATATATATATATATATACATATATATATGTATATATATATATATATGTATATATATATATATCATTACTTATGCTAAGTTT